TAAATTTTTGGGACATTATTGTTTTACTGAAATTTCATTGAATTTTTCATCTAAATCGAATTCAATGCGACTGTCCTAAAAATTATTATTATTATTATTATTATTATTATTATTATTATTATTATAATAATGCTAATATAATAATAATAATAATAATAAACTGAATGGAATACAGGGAATTCCAGGGGGATTATGAGATCTTTTGTCGTGTTAAATCAATTTAATGGAATAATTTAACTGAAAAATCGAGTATTATATTAATTTTCAGATCATTTGGACCGCAAATTGATTAAATATTTGATTTTTTAATATCAATATTCCCTGAAATTTCAGTGGAAATTAAACAATAAAAATGAAACGATAAAAATTATCAGGATGTGGCACAGAAAATTCAGAGGAAAATTTTTAACAGTGAAATAGCTCATCCCAAGCGACAACTAATAGTATTAGATCACATTAGACGCGAGATATCAGAGGAATTCGAGGAGAGAGCTCGTAGTCATTATTTTCACTCCCTTCCCCGAGACTCGTATCCCCTTATGTGCAACGATTTCCCCGGAATGGCCTACGTCGAATGGCTCCACGAAATTGAAGCAACGCTTGCCCAGTCACTCCCGATGCCGGCACCACTCGCTCACCTGTATCCTGCATTTTCCACCGAGACACAACGAATTTATACTCAAGTAAAATACTCCGGAGTGAAACGAAAATACCCTCACACAAATCAGATTTCACGGTACCTTTATCTCCTCCAATTGATGTACTTTGTATTGTTACATCTCTCGAGGAGTTGCTGGGAGGAACGAGTGAAAAATTTCTCGGAGGGGATTCGGGAAAGTTGAAGGGGATGAAATTCCTATTACATTGAAATTTTCGGAGCAAAACATGAAGAAAATTATTTCCAGTTTATATTTTGTGGCAATCGTGTGGGTTATATCAGTTAATTGATTATACGACACGGTGAGCAAATTTGTCATAACGTTTTTCTCTCTCTAGCGTTTTTTTTTGTCATTTTTTAAAGACAAATTTTTATGCGATATCTTTGCAATTCAGTAGCGAAGTGGAAAAACGATAGTTTTGAATGAATATTTCAATGAATCTGAGGGAGATAGCGAAATTTTTGTTATAACCTTTTTTGTAGGGCCCATTGAGAGCTACAAAAAATGTAGTTATGAAAATTTCGCTATCTCCCTTAGATTCGGAGATATTCCTCAAAAACTCAACTGGGAGATGATCGAAACCGTTTGACCACTTCGCTGCAAAATTGATTTCGTTTCTTGCATTTGTTTTATCTCGAGGTCTTAGTGTGTTATAAAATACATTTTAATATTTGTTTATTTGGATGATGAATCAATTTTTAGTTGAAACGCGAAATATAATTTATTGTGATCGAAATTTGTGTAAGAAATTGGATAATGATTGACTTCAATTAGAGAATATGATTAGAAAATATGATTACATTCAGTTATTGATTCGAAAAAATTGACTAACTCTCAGAAGTCTTGAAGATGATAATTTTACAGTGCATTTTAATTTTTTTGAACTCAAAATAAAAAAAAAAGCGAAGTGAAAAAGCGAATTGTCAATCAATTTTTAGCTGAAATGCGAAATATAATTTATTGCGATCATTGATTTCAAAATATGATTAGAAAATATGATTACATTCAGTTATTGATTAAAAAAAGTTGAACAACTCTCAGACGTCTTGAAGATGATAATTTTCCAGTGCATTTGAATTTTTACAACTCAAAATAAAAAAAAATGAATTTAAGCCCAAACTTTCGCTCTCCATCCGCAGAATAAACTTCGAGTTTGAAGATTACTTTGAAATAACTGATGTTGAATTACAGTCTGGAGCACGTTGAGAGGTTTGTCAGATTTGCTAACGTGTATATCGTATGCAGAAATCCCGGAAATTCAAACCCATCCTTGAGGGGCTGTGGGGAGGGGGGGGGGACACAGAGGGAGAAGTCCACTTGGCTCAGTACCATCGCAATGCTCATCCATTCGACTAGTCACAGCTAGAGGAAGAACCTATTTGCGCTCGAAGCGTTATAACTCCATACCCCCAACCCTCTATGGCGGTTTAGTTTCGAATATCGCACAACAGTTTAGCCAAACTCCACACGTGTGTTAAGTATTCCTAATTGAATGCGGGATGATGAACTCGTGAATGGAGCCGGAATAAATGTTGATTTTCTCACGTACTGTTTTATTCCACGGTTGAAAATTTAATCACCGCTGTTTGAATATGTCGTTATGAAGTATTTCGTCGGGAAGGGAGACAATTTTTTTAATAAAAACTCAAAGTAACGACTCGTATTGTCTTATTATTCTAAACAAAACAACGAAAACAAATGAATAAAAATCAAAATTTCATTTTTTTTTCGACCAAAAAATTGTAAAAAAGAAAAACTCTAAACTACCACAAAAAAACAAAATAACCCTTCAATACCAGAGGATATTTTTTTTTCTACTGATTTCTTTACTTGAAAATAATTTTTATTTGAGGATAATTTTTTTTGTACTTTTTTTTTCAGTTGAAAATTTAATCAAGAGTGTTTTAATGTTGTTATAAAGTATCTCGCCAGAAAGAAAGGAAAATTTTAGAATAAAAACTCAAAACAACTCGTATTGTTTCATTATTCTAGATAAAATATCGAAAACGACTCAATAAAAAAAAACGTTATTCCCTTTTGAAAAAAAAAATGAAATGATAAATTTTCCAAGTCATTTGCCTAAGAAAGACTCTAAACTGCTGCGAAAAACAAAAGAGCCCCCCAATACAGGAGGATAATTTTTTTTTAACGGAGCTCGTTAGTAGCGAAAACGAATAGTCAACGAAATATACGAGATACTATGAATTTTGCGCCCTTAAACCCGACAACCGGCCCCGGCTTCGTGATTACTTCGTGCAGGTGCGGTGAATCGAGTGAGTGAGAGGGTGAGACGGGGCGCAAAGAAGCCTCGACAAAGGGTAGGGGTATGTCTTCTCCTTTATTTTCCCTGCGAGCGCCTTGTGGCGCTCCAGATTGCGTACATTTTCTAATATCACAGAGAAGTAATGGTTGGAGGAAGTAGAAAAATGAACGAAGTGGAAAAGTCTACGTGTAGGGCAGACAAGTTGGTTTTAGATGGGAGGCGGATCCCCTTTCCTTGGCTTTCGTCCGGGTAATCATCATTTCTTTAATCTCATCACTCGTCAGACTTCAGTCAATTTTTTATTCATTGAATTTCGGTGATTGACGATTTTTACGGCTAATTTTTTAAGGTAATACGTCTTGAAGAGACAATTCTTTAATGCAAAACTCAGTAAAATTTCATTTAAAATCAGTAGAATCTCCACCCGGAAAATGTTTTTTTTAATCAAATAAAAATGTTCATTTCAATTTTTTTAATTATTTCAAGGCAAAGGATTTAATTGTATTAAACAAACAATTATTTTTTTTAAATAAAAAAATTACTCAATTGGAAAAATCAGTTTATTAATTTCAAATAAATAATTCTTGATAACCGAATAAACAATTTATTCATTGAAAATAAATAGTTTTCTCATTAAAAAAAAATCAAATTTTCATGTATTTTGTGAAAGAATTGAATCAAATAAAAATTTATTAACAGTAAAAAAACATTTCTAAAAATTTTTATTCAATTAAAAAAAAACTTGATTTGCTACTATAAAAATAACGATTATTCGATCCAAATAGATTATGTTTCTGAGTGCACTTCAAACCGATGTGAATAATTCACGTCCGAAAAATGCGATGACTAAAAAAAAGGCTTCATAAAATGGTCAGCAAGCGCGTTAACTTCGTTTTATGACGGGCGCACGCTCCACCGAGTGCCTCCATATATTTTTATGCCTCTCCCCCCTTCCCCTCACGCAGATCGTCCTCTCAAAACCCCATGAAGAGGGGAAAAAAATCGAAAAAGTAACTCGTGGCTGATTCCACGAGGGAGCGAGCAAGAAACCTCCACCGAAAGTCGTCTGGCCGTAATACACTGTACAGACGCTCGAACATACCCACAGTTATAGGTTATAGAGTTCTCCCCGGGTCGTGGTGGCAGTGGATACCGAACTGAAACTCATGGGATTAAATTGCCACGAATGGAAGCGGTTGGGGGGGGGGGATACAGTCTTGAATACCATGGCCACACTGGAATACCGATCTTATTCCGGTCTCCCAGCGGGAGGGGAAACGTGAGCGTGTGCCCTCGTAAAATTCAAATCTCAAATGGCTGACCCAACTTAAAGAGGAAAAAAATCGAGCCTCTCAGGGGCGAATTTTACGGTGGAGGGGGGAATAGCAACTGTTTGGAGAGGTATTATCTATTTAGGGAATTCAGGGGGTTTTTGAGGGGTGGGGGTGATTTATTTTTTGAAATGAGATGATGGGATTGGATTTGAGGTGTGGTGGGGAAACAGAGACGCGAGATGACATTTTCAAGGGATTTTCGAGGAATTTTGTAATTGAAAATTTATAATTTCATGAAAAAATCAGTGGGAACTGTAAATTACAGTTTAATTGTTCCCGGAAATTTAATGGAAAATCAGGAAAATTCACAGAAATTTCTTCGTAAATTCCAGATTATTCTGAATTTTCAGGGGATTTCGTAAAAAAAATGTCGAAATCCCAAGAGTTTTAAAGGAATTCTCTGAAAATTCAAGGGAATTTGGCAATGATAATTTATTTCCACTTGAAAATTCATGTGAATAAATTGTGAAATTTATAGGCAGAAAGAAATTCCATTGAAGTTTTCCCCTTAAATCGAATTGAAGACCTTCTTCTGATCTGATGTTTCACGATCATAAATCAGTGTCATTCATTTACGAATTTCCAAGTAACGCCAGTACTTAAACGAAATCGGAAGGTCATATAGTGAATTCACCATAGTTTTGTCACATGACAAAAATTTTCCCAGATCCATTTTACCCGGAATTCGTTGGCGGATGGCGAATAGTACAGAAAACAAGAAATAATCAACTTGGCATTACTCACCAACAACAGCGAGATATCCATTCTGGCTCTTCATGGGATCAGTATTAATCTGACACATGTACCAGCCCCTGTCCGTCTCCTTGACCTCACGAATGTGAAGGAACCATGTACGATGGTCACTGTGTGTAACCCCAATCCTGTGGTTCTTCGTTATCACGTGATTCGCTATGGTAAGGATAGTCTGTGTGTCGACCCGTAGCCAGGCGACCTGCAACACCGCAACACCATAAACTGTTCAGTAAATATTCTCATGGGCCAATGCAACTGTTCGCAAACCTACTCCCTACGTTATTTTCCTATTAACCCTATTTTGGTCACCATACGAGAACTTGCGACTAAGGTCACCTCCGCAGGGCATCGCCGCCGTGTTATTCAGGCCCGAGCGTTGCCGAATTCACTCTATACTGCCCGGGCGCGTTTAGCGAGACTTCGGCAACGTCGCAAACACGAGCAATTGATATTGAAATCTGCATACAGGTGAAAACGAGGGGAAGAGAATCACTTCCGCTTCATGATTCAATTGTCATCCCAAAGATGATGTAAATGCCATTATGTCCCGAATATAAAACCTCAATTAAAATCCCCCGGACGTGTGTTTACCAGACCGTTGTTTCGATCCTCCAGTATTCAATAACGATAATGGATTTCGGATGACGTAAAAGTGGTTCAAAAACACTTTCCCACTTTTTTTGTGATAGCAGCGTATCAATCACAACGCTCCGGACGTGATCCGATATTTTAAAAAATGACGGCATTGAAAAGCCAGAGAAAATCCCGAGGGAGAACACAGTACATATGACGCTGTACCCGTAGAAATAACGCGTTTGAGGCAAATAGAAATCTATTTCAAATTTTTCTATTTATTCCAACAGTATTTCTGTCGGAAATTGACAAATCTATTTATTCATTGTCCATTTTTTTTTAATTTGAAGGCATTTTTTCATTTGGTCCGGAGATAGTGATGATTACTCGACGAACTATTCAAACCAACTCATTTACATTATTGACATAAAGTTTATTAAATTCAAATAAATAATTTCTCCAAATATCAACCTTCACTATTAAATTTTCGTCCGATTTTTCCGTGTCATATCCTGAAAATTTATATCATGATAATTTGTACCGAAATTTCACGAAATCTTGTCACTGAAAAATAAAATATTCCAGTGATTGTTCAAATGATTTGAAAATCAATAAAATACTCGGATTATTCCGTGAAAATTCGGAAAAATCACGGAAATTGAGGAAAAAATCGAAAATTTAATCAAGTTGTGAAATTTCAAGTAAAAAATCTTGAAATTTTTAACAACGAATAACTTTCATGGAATTTCCCTTGATCTTGTTATTGATAAATCAGTCAATTTTCTTGAATTTTCTGAAAATCGTGAAAATTCAGGCAACTTTTCTTCTGAATTCTCAATCACTGGAAAATTCAATTGAATGTAATGCAAAATTATCCCTGAAAATTCAACTGCATCTGTTACTTAAATTTCAAACAATGTCCCCCAGTGCACTGAAACCTCATAAATCTTCCTGAATGCTCTCTAAACCGTGAGATTTCATGACCCCTTACCCCCTAAATGGGACTCAATGTCACTCTCATGGGAATTACTCCCGCATTTTCCATGAAATCTGAAAAAATGTCCAACAGCCTTCAAACCAAATCTGTGCTCCCACATTGAGATTACGGATAATGATCCTCCCCAGACCCCCGGGGCATTCTCAATCCGTCATGATGCAACGAGTACACCCCAAGTATGTGCAGCTCACAACTTGGCCACTTCGACTTTTAAACAGTAACAACACAAGCAAAACAACGTGGCTGTGTATACGACCGTGACATTAACAACGCCTGGCACGACTTTGTTACTACTCACGTATAATGGGCATAGGACTCACGGTTTATTCCAACGGGTTTACGGTGCAGGCGTCGGCGGACGGGGGTGGGAGGGGGGGGGG